TGTGTGTGTGTGTGTGTGTGTGTGTGTGTGTGTGTGTGTGTATGTGTGTGTGTGTGTGTGCGCGGGTGTGTGTGTGTGTGTGTGTGAGTGTGCACGCGCGCGCACGTGTGCGCACGCGTGTGTGTATTGCAGGGCGGAGCGGTTGTGAATCGTGTGCCCGACAACGTCGCGTGTCTACAAGTGGGTGCGCCGCGGGGTTGCTGACTGAGGGTGACAATGCGTATGCTGCCCCCCGCCAGCAATGTGTCGCCATCCTGCCTGCCGCCCGATGCCCTGTGCGTCTCGCGGCCGCCTGCAAACTGAAACGGCTTCCGCGGCAGCAGCGCGGCCAGCCGCGAGACAGGGCGCGCGCGCGCACCTGCGCGCCGTCTTGCTGGTCAGGTCGAGGGCTCCGCAGATCACTTTGACCTCGTCGCCCGTCAGGTTGCCCCCCAGCCCCTCGTCCGCCCCGTGGATATCAACCAGAGCCTTAAGCTGGGTGCGGCGGAACATGACCTGTCGTGGTTTGTGATCCGAAAGGTCGTTAGCCGGGGTGGTGGTGCTCGGTCGTCGGTCGGGGCGCCGTCAGGGGTTGGCGGCAAGAAGGGGCGGCCCGGCCAACAGAGGCCCAGGCTGGCCGGTCCAGGCGCCCGGGGCAGCAGCAGCGAAGGGCCGAGGGAACGGCGGCCCGCGCCTACGGCGGCGCTGGCGCGGGCAAGGTTTGCGCCCGAGGATTGCGCCCGAGGCCTGCCTTGTGCTCTGACCCCAGCAGGGCATCCAGCAGCTTGGACAGGGTCCAGCTGATCTGGAGGGGAGAGGGGTGTTTGACCGGCGACGCGGCGGGGCCGCCAGTAAGGTCGACGAGGTCCAGGGGGCAGGGGCAAGGAAAACGCATACAACAACTCAGATTTGAACCCACCCCCAGGCAAAGGCTGCGATGAAGAAGGTTGGACGATGCCGCGCGGCGCAGAACGCGAGGGCGCGGCAGCTCGAGGCCGTGGCGCGGGCGCATCCAGCCCCTCACAGAAGCCGGGAGGCGCAGAAACGGGGCCCAGACCAACCCCACTCTCCCCTTCCAGGCGAGCGACTCACCGGTGACGTCACAAGCATGAGCAGCCGTACCAGCCACGCTGAGTAATAGCCGATGGCCAGGCCGTACCTGAAAGCACGGGCAGGGTGACATATGACTACAGGTTACGGCAGAGGCGCGCACGTCCCTGACTCATGGACACGCTGAAGAGGCGGCGAGCAGCGGGCTGCATCGCTGCTCGCTCCCGCACAGATGTGTGCATGCGCTCCAAACGCAAGTGACTGTACACAGCATGGGCATGCGCTGCCATCGCGCTGCAATCAAGCGCCGCCGCGCAGCGCCGCGCGGCCCCGGGCTCGCCTGCTGCAGAGGGCTTGAGGGAAGATCTCGCCAAACACGAGCACGGCCGTCACAGATATCACTGAGGAGTGCACACAGGATGAGTGACGGGGCGGGCAGGCGGAGGCCGGCGTGGCCGTTAGGAGGGAAAGCCGTCCAGCCTCCAGCCGCATGTCGTCTGCAGCAGGACACAAGGCCCGTATGCACATGCGCACGCCAACGCTGCCGCGTGCGGTGCCGCCGCCCGCAGGCCCAAAGCAGCAGCGAGCCCGGCAGCGCAGGCGGTGGCCCGCTGCGTCGCGCACCGATCGCCGTGACGGGGTCTGCGAGGCGGTCGAGGAACAGCGGCAGCGCCTCCATCGCCACCGCGTTGCACAGCAGCAGCGTGCACAGCAGGAAGTGCTGGTTGGCCACCAGCGGGAGGATGCCGGCCGCGTAGCGCTGCTCGCGCCGCGTGCCGCTGCGGCGGAGGACCTGCAGAGAAGCCGGGTCCGCGGCAGGAGCAACCATGGTAGGGCATGACATCAGGAATTTTATATGCGGATTGCTTGCAGGGGTGGGACAAGGGACAGCGAAAGCGGGGGGGCCGTCGCTCGCGAGGTCGCGGCCGCGCGCGCGCTCGTTCGCAAGCTTTGGCGCCTCTCCGCGGCCTGTGTGAGCGCATCACACCTCGCCCGCATTCTGCCTGCCGCCATCCCCAGGCTCCTCACTGAATGCCGCCGATCCCGCCCTCTGGCCTTCCCCTCCCGCTCGCCCCGGCCCCTCTCCCACTACCCCCCTTGATGTCCTGCCCCCCCCCCTCGCACCTCTAAATCCACCATGTCCATAGACATGAGCCCCAGCGTCAGCCCGCTCATCAAGCCGGCCATCAGCGTCAGGCCGACGGATATGCATATGTATCTGTGGACGGGTTGGCGGGGAAGGGGGGCCGGTGGCAGGGTAGGCTGGGCGCAGGGGTGGAGCAGATGCGGCGAGAGGCAGGCCCGGGGTGGGTGGCGGTGGGCGCGTGTTGCTGCCGCGCTGGGGCCTTGGCATGCCACGCGAGGTGCTGCTGATTCAGCCAGCGTCACAAGCGCGCGCATGCTGCGGGCGACAGACCGGGGCGCGGGCGGGGGGAAATGCCACGCACGTGATTCGCTGCTGCGGCGTCAGGGGCTCCTCTCCGGACTTTTTCGACACCATCGCCAGCACCGCGCCGTGCAGCAGCACCAGCAGGCGACCGTCGAGGGGTCCGCCTCGATTCCTGGCCGCCGCCATGGCCCGCAGCTGCCGCATCGTGCAGAGGCGATGCTTTGGCAGCTGCGGTGACGAGCGCGGCGCGACGGAGCGTGTCGCGGGTGCCTGCTAGCGGTGCAGGGCCCTGCTCACTAACTGGCCAGGGAGAGCTGATATGACTGCCTGATATCCACTGTTGCTCCGAAGAGCAGCAATTGAGAAGCCAAAAATTGCTGATCGTTCTGTTGCAAACTGATCAACGCGCTGGGATTCGTCACGATCAATTGAATGATGTTTCACAGAAGATACAACAGCACTCTTGTACTTGTCGCCCGACGCAGATCTGCAGCTAGATCTTCGTAGGAGTGCCGTGCTGTGCGGCACAGAACAATTCAAGCTTTACACATTGGTTCAAGCGTTGACTGAAAGACGCTGCCTCGGCTTGGTGTGCCTTGTGACGTGGTATCATTGACCAACGGTCAGCACCAGGGCGTGGTGGAGTGTGCGCCTGGCGCGAATGTTGCTGCATACGCCACCACCCCACAGGATAACACACATGCAGCTCCGTTTTATAAGTATACGTCAGCTACCTTGGAGTCGTAGTCGGCCGTCACCGTCCAAAAGGGGATTGAAGTAGCAAGTGTGCGGCAAGCAGAGTGCTCAAAGCGAGTGGGGTATCCCCGCCCGTGGCCGCACTACCGGGACTCGAATTTTACCACAAACCACCTGAGCGTGACTGCGAGACGGTTAGAGCGACCAGAAGAGGCTTGAGCTCGGGTTGCATCATATACATCCGCTTGCTGGTGCTCTGCAAGGGTGGACCCTGCAAGAAAAATGGCAGTCATGACATCAGAGCCTGCACAGGTTACTCAGCTCGTATCCTGCAGCACAACGGTGCCATCCATTTTTTCGCAATGCTTTATCAGTAACAGATTAATTGATTGATTTGTTACCGCGTGTGCAGCTGCAAGACTCATCGGGAGACGGCCGCCGCGACGGCCCCACGGCCCATCGCCTCTGCCTCCAAATGTGGGCAGGGTAAGCAAGCAGGCAAGCGCTCCACCCACGCAGCACAGCAAGCACCCACACCCACACAAACGCCTGAAACATCCCCCCGCGAAAACCGACCGGCGGTACAGCACGACACAACACGCGCAAGACATGGGCCCCACGAGGGGACCGGAACAAGCGGTTTGCAAGCGGGTGGAGGGTCTACTCCCCTCTCGCTGGGTGCAACCCGAGGGCGAATGAGCTAAGTGCGCCAGCCCACAAAACCCGTCGCTTGGCCCCGCCGCACAGGCAGCAGTAACAAAGTGCTGTTTTGAACCTGGCACGTCTGTAAGCTATCTTATTGGCTTTTGCCATGCTGTGCAAGCAGGCATCAGCAAGGCCCACTGGGTGGTACTCCTGGGGCTGGCTAGGGTGAGGGATCGCAACACTTCCGGGTGTGGGTTATTAAATACCTGGTGTTTGGGGCGCGGCATGCATTTGCATGGCACAGACGGTGTGACAGTGCACAGGCAGTACAACAGTTTGCACAGCAGTTGCGGTGGTGGAGGCGGGGCACTGTGGGGCTCTTGCGCGTCTCGTTGCGGCCTCTGTCCCGCATTCCTATCGGTAGCTTTTGGCACCCGATTGTCACGGTTTATTCGAAACTATCCTGAAATTGTGCAGATCCGATCTGCACATGGGAGAGTCTTCCGTCACCTAGTCGTGCACAAGTAGACTGAAACGATCATGTTCGACTGTCATTGCCACCTGTACACGCCCCAGTTCACACCCGCGGAGGTTGCAGACCTTTCGGCTGAGGCCGCCGCTGTTGGAGTCCGCGCCATCGTTGCGGTGCCAGAGACGCTCGCCGATTCTCGCGCTGTGCTGCAGCTCGCGGCCGGTAGGTGCTGCTTTCCGGACGATCAGCCTCTTCACGTGCAACCCTACCATACCCGCTCACCAGCACACACCGCCCGGTCTCTGCAGAGAACCCGCTGGTTGCGCCCTGTGCAGGCCTTCACCCGGTGCAGCCCGTGCACTCGGACGGCCTGCCCTACAGCGGCGCGCGCTGCGTGTCGTTGGAGGACCTCGTGCCGGCGCTGGACTTCATCCGCGACCACGCGGACGCGCTGGTCGCGGTCGGGGAGGTGCGGGGGTGCTCCCAGGGCGGAGGGGCCTGGGAGCTGTGCAGGATGTGCAGCGCCCTTCCAGCAGGCGCATCGACTGCCTGGCTTCATGAGGCCCAGTAACCGGCCTGCAAGCCAGCCTGTGTCAACATCATCTCCGTTCACATTATCGCGTGTCCTCACATACAACCTCTCAACATGCGCGTGCATGCGGTTTTGTTTGCACACACATATGCATCAGGTGGGCCTTGACTTTTCGCCCCACGTGCTTAATGGAGACGAGGCCCTGAAAGACGTGCAGCGCGCAGTGCTGGCCGCCCAGGTGCGCTCAGTGCAGGTCTGATCACTCCCCTTGGGTGTGACGTGAGGGTGTGCAGAGAGCTCAAAGGGATATCAACAGGCCGAATGGCGGCTGCTTTTTTGCGGCGATCGCGTGCACACTCCCCTCTCCCTACGAGCCAATGTGGCCGCACATACAATGTATGTGCTGCACACAAGCACGCTTGCACACAAAAACACACTCACATGCACACACGTGCACACACACGCATGCATATGCACATGCACACACAAACTCACTCACACACACACACACACACGTGCATACGCACACCAGGTGTCTCTTGCCAATGAGCTGGGCCTGCCCCTCAACGTGCACTCGCGGTCGGCAGGGCACCACGCCATTGACGCCCTGCTGGTGCGCCCCCACGCACAGCTGCCACGTCTGTCAGACACCACCTACTAACTCCGGTTGGCTGGGCGCAGCGCATGCCGGCACCCTCGCACACGGATCACCATTCCTGTCCTGTGTGCACCTGTTCAAGTGAACAAAAAAGGGCTCTCTGCCAACGCGAGTCTGCCAGCGGACCCAGACACAGCATTTGTCTGAACCCCCCCTCCTGATGCACTCCGCCACCAACCCAAAATTATCAGGAGGGCCAGGCTCAGAGGGCCCTGTTCCACGCCTTTGACGGCAGGGCAGTACACGCCCTCAGGTGGGCCGAAACAGCAATTGGGGTGGGGTTGAGGCGCAGCAAATGGCACCCACAGCTCCTGCCCTGTGTGCTGATGCTGAACGGTGCGCCTTGCTGCCGTTTGCGAGGCCTCGCCCGCACTGCAGAATCCTCTCTGTCAATCAAAGTCTGCTTGCACCGAAGTTCATTTCTGCCCGATACAACCCTTTGATCCTCTAGAGCCATTGAGCGGTCACCCAGTTTCTACTTCAGCGTGCCGCCCAGCGTAGTGCGCTCGCCGCAGAAGCAGAAACTCGTCGCCGCACTGCCGCTTGACCGCCTCGTGCTGGAGACTGACGCCCCTGCACTGGGCCCAGAAAAGGGTGTGACCAACAGGCCAGCCAATATCACGGTCGCGCGTGACGAGGTTGCTCGGATCAAGGGGATCGCGCCGTCCGAGGTTGAGCGGGTAACGACCGCCAACGCGCTGCAGCTCTTCCCATTGCTGCGGCGGTGGGTTGGCAACGGTGATGCGGCAGGGGATGATGGCGAGGCACAGCCATGAGTGGGAAAAGCCGTGAGTGGTGTCGTTGCACAGCTCACGCACGTAGCTAGTGCACACTCGGCGTACGCGCGAGGCAATGGTCGGATTCTGTTCAAGCGAGGCACACGCAATGGCATGGTCTGCGTGCATATATGTACACGACGTTCACTTTTGAGGCGACAGCCACGGGCTTTGTGCGCTCGGCGCGGCCACACGAGCACAGACGCCAAGCAGGGGTTGCAGCCATCCCTGGACCTCCACAGCCATGCCTGGGAGTGCAAAATTGTATTTAGCCCCGTTTCAACCCCGCTGCCCTGCAGGCATGCTGCACCAAGCCCTCCCTTTCCACCTCTTTAACTGTACAAAGCAACTCTGCCTCCCCATGATTGCAACATCGTCCATGGTTTGGCGCGTTTCTCACTTTGCGTTGCTGTTTGTGTTGTGTTTCAAACCTTGCTGCCTGGCCTCCCCTGGCAGAGTGCATGACGCCTTGCTATACCTGACCCAGCCTTGCTGCCCTCACATGTGTTGGCGCACACAACATCGTCGGCTTGCGCCGAGGGCGGCGGCGACAGCTGCGCTCACGTGTGTGCGCATTCACATGCACTAGTTTGAGTATGCTGATTACAACACGCACACGTGATTTTGCACCCTCACACATGATCTCAAGATCAGACAATTTGTAACAACCAAAGTGGTGGGGCCAGATGCACTTTCCCAACGCAATAGCATGCCACATAATGCTTGTTTGAGCACAGCCGGGCACTATTCGATCTGTGCGTCTCTCCTGCGCCACTGGCTACCCTGTCCCGCCGCTGTTGCGTGCCGCGCCTGCTGCTCCTGCTGGTACCAGGGCGGCCGTGCTAGCGCGCCGGCGCTCAGCCACCCAGTCCATGGCCGCGGTCACGTGAGCCAAGAGGCCCGGCAGCTCAATGCCGGCTCCCTCGCACTCGTGACGCAGGTAGAGGTGGCCCAGCAGCGCCGCCATCCCGGCATAGTGATTCTGCTCGCGCTGCGGGAATGCATGCGTGGGGAACGGGATGCAGCAGGGTCATGGGCGTTTCAGGGGAGAGAGGCCCCTGGTTGTTGTAGATGGGGAGCAGCAGCCAGGTCGGCCTTGCGCAAGCATGGCGGTGCACAGCAACCGCACAAGGTCTGGAGCGCGCAGCATCTCATTTGCACGACGTGCGCGTGCCTGCCTCGTGCGTCGCATGCGTGCGCAACCCCTCTGTGCACGGCCGTGCGCCCACCACGTTGTGCAAGACCTCGACCACCGCGCTCCTGCCGCCAGGCTCCATCCACGCCTGCCCCGCCAGGCCGCCGCCGTGCGCGCCCACCAGAACGCCACAGCGCACGAGCGCGTGCACCTGGTCCTCAAAAGGCACGTCTGACAGCTCGACCGCTCTCAGTTCAAAAAACACGGCAATGGTGGAGTTGCTGCCTGGGCTGCCGTTGCTGCTGCTGTTCTTGCTGATGCTTCCGCTGCTGCTGCTGCTGCTGCTGCTGCTGCTGCTGCTGCTGCTGCTGCTGCTGCTGCTACTGCTGCCGCCACCGAATTTCCTCGCCAGCTCAGCGGATGCGCGCGTGTTCCAGGCGAGCACCTCCGCCTGCAGCGCCCGCACCACTTCCCCGTCGTTGCCAACGGCCCGCGTCCGCTGCCACTCGGACAGCCGCGCGGCGCTCAGCGCCTCGTGGCGCGCGCGGGACGCCCACATGACAGAGATCACCTCCATGCGCGGAGCGCTGCGCTGCGTCTGCGTCAGCTGCTCGTTCGGTGCCTGCTGCTCCGCACGCCGCCTGTGATGCTGCTGCGGCTCTGGGGCCGGGGGCGGTGCTGCCGGCGCCGCTGGCAGCGTCCAGGAGAGCAGGAAATGCGGGCGCGGCGCGCCGCGCGGCCTGAGCTCGGGGAACAGGCCGCGCAGCCAATGCGAAAAGGCCACAACCAGCGGCGATGCTCCGCAGCGCGCGGCGCGGCTGCCCTCCCCGACGCCTGTGTAGGCGAAGAGCGAGGTGCCGTGCTCGTGCGGGGGCACGTGGAACGCGGCGCGGAGGCAGGTGCCATTGGGAAGGGGGTCTTGGGTGAGGGATCGAGTGGGGCCGATTCGGCGGAGGACCTCAGCGTAGGGGCCTGCGGGGGGGTTCGGTTTGGGTGGCGGCAACATGCAAAGGTTGTGAATGTGACGTGATGTTGGTGGAAGGGATCTCGTTGTGGCACGGGCATGCATGTTTTCGAGCCACGTCAGCCCCATCGCCGGCTCGCGGCTCGCGGCAGCCGCTGCAGCTGCACCAGCCAGAGCGACGGGCCCTTGAGAGTCAGACGCGCCCACCGTGAGGCTGGGTGTCTGTGTAGAAAACTTGTATGGGGGCCGAGGTGTTGAGGGCGGCTGCGTTCTTGAGGAGCTGCAGGGCCGTGAAAACCGTGAGGAAGTACCTGCGAAGACATCCAGGAGTGGCGCCCAGCCCGATGTGGGTCTAGGGTGCGACACAGGGCGGTGCCGTTTGTGCTGCGGGGCCGCAAATGTGAGTGCGGGCGGCAGGGGCGACTGCTGCTACGACCTCGGCAGCAGCAGCAGCAGCAGCAGCAGCAGCAGCAGCAGCAGCAGCAGCAGCAGCAGCAGCAGCAGCAGCAGCAGCAGCAGCAGCAGCAGCAGCAGTAATCTGGCGATATGATTTGATCCTGCCCCCATCCCTGATTTCTCACTCCATGCTGTGGAAGGTGTTGATGGTGTCGTATCGGTGGACCAAAAGAACCTGATCTACTATGGCACTCTCCGCGCCACACGCCCGCCGCACCTCGCCCTGACGCAGCGCCACCACGGCACCCAACCACTCGCGCAGGGGGCCGCGTGCCGCAGGCGGGAGCGGCGCGACCGCAGGCGGCAAAGGGCCGCCGGCGGTGCTGTTCATGGAGTGGTTGCCACTGCCAAGGCCGGTCCTGTTCATGCCACCACCGCCGCAGCTCAGGCCCACCTGCTGCGACTCCAAAGCTGCAGCGGGACGCCAGACGAGGTTCTTGCTTGCGCAGGCGGCCAGTGCCACTGCAGGGTGTGCCCAGCACGCCACGCTGCTGCCTGCGCTGTTTGCATTGTCATCGCCGCTGCTGCTGTCTGCCGCCCCAAAGCAGATGTCCGACCGAGCTGCACACCAGGCCTGCATGTAGGCATCCCCAAAATCTTCGTCGCAGTGCAGGGACTGCTGCGCAGCAGGTCGCTCGTGCGCCGAGCCATAGAGCACTGGCTGCGGCTGGTCCGGCACGGCCGCATCAATCGCGCCATGTCGGGGCGCACGAGGAATGACATCGAAACTCAGTGCCACCAGCGTGGTCAACACGGCCAGCGGCGCGGCGTGGATGATCCATGACCGTGCCGTGGCTCAGGTAGCGCCCGGCAGGATAGGAATGGTCAGGGATCGTGCAACTCTCTGCGCGTGATCTAATTTGATCCACTGTGCCGAGTTTGATACACATGCATATGATCCAAAGGGTGGTGAAAGGCGATCCAAGCGAGACAGTGATGTCTTCTTGGTTTCTGGGATGGCCCATATGACAAGTTAGCTGATGAGTAACCAGGCGCATCGGCGCCATCGGTGCTGATCTAGGGCAACAGTTGCCAAGGGCGTTATAAGTTACATGGTCCTTTTTTTGTGAAGAGTAGCCACCCAGCTTGTACCATAGTATTGCGACGGTGAAGGACGGTGGAGTTGAATGTTTTGTTAGAGCGCTGGGAGGGCGGCCGAACGCTCGTCACGCTCACATATGTACGAAGCACAGGTAAGACGAATGCACAGGCGGCTGGTGTCCCTCTGTAGATGCAGGGTGGACGAAATTCACGCGGCTGCGTGGGCGCTGCGCTCCGCAGCGCTGGCAGCGATGTGGCGAGACGCGCCGGAGGCTTGACAAAATGCATGCAGTTCTGAGCCTTGCCCCATGCCTGATACTGCTGGGCGGGACCAGGAAGTTTGTGCAGAGGGTTGGCCTGGCCGCCCACAACTTACTCCTGTGACCTTTTGCAGACGGATGCTGCGCCACTGGGCCCAGCGGCTTGGCCGGCGGGCGGCGCCTCCCC